CCAGCTTCCCTTCCTCCCTGATAAGGAAGTATGAGGAAGTTCATTCTAGAGAGAAAAGCAGAGCTGTGGACTGCCCGAGATGCTCATTCCCCAAAGGGACAGTCCCTTGCCATGATACTTCTTGACGATGGTCTCACAGAAGCCTTGGTAGGGTTCAAGTCATGCCTAAATGAGAGAAATACAGTGACTGAAAAGAAGTCGGAAGAGAAATTACAATGCACGGTATTGTCAACTGTTCTTCTTAACTTGAGAAGTTCAGAGCATGGATGAATATTTAGTGGTCTTTTAAATGCAATAACTGCTTTTCAGTGTTACTCATCTATCTGAGTGGTTGCTGTAGCTACAGCATAACCCTGAGAACTGGCAGAGAGGGAATCGTGTATTCTACCACGTTCCCTGGCCGATATGAAATATTTTGTGAACATTTGTATACCCTAAAGTAGGTGTTAGCTGGAAGGATCTATGAATGCATAGACAGAAATTTCTTTCCTAATCCCAAATAGAGATTATCAACCTTAAATTTCAGGATGTCTTGTTTAAATGCATTAATATACCCTCAGATATCTTGTCATCGAAACGAATGTTTAATTCTTATTTGGATTCTGGGTTTTTATAGGAAGTTAAGTCACATATGAGAAGGTAGTCCATAAAATTAACCTCATTAGTATTTCAGAAGTGCAGATTTAAGGTCATTTATTTATATACGTGCTGGCTGTTGTAAACCATACGTGACACTAGGGGAAGTGTGTTTATGGAGTCAGTTTACTGGAAAATCAGCAAGGTCAGAGCTGCTCTAGCTCTAATATTTGGAATGAGTCAGGTTTGACATTTCAAGTTGAAGAAGAGCTCAGAATTTAGAACCAAGTTAAGAATATACTGGATGGATGATTTTGGGAAGGACAAATCAGATTTCTAAATTGACATGCAGTGCTAAAACTAGGAACAGCTTGCCTGGATTCAGAAAAATGACTAATACAGAAAAAACCTGAACTTATTTGCGAGGAAGGGAATCAGTGTAGGGAATGTCTGCTAAACGCTTTCAGTATCCTGTACAGAAAAGAAGGAAAGGGAGAGGTATTGGGTGGTTGGCAATAAATATATTACTATTACAAAAACACCATGAAAATCAATCAGCTAACAAATTAATCAGGAGCTAAGAGGTGAAACAAGAAGAAATATTAATTTTAATCTCCCCTGCCAAACTCTGTTCCTGATTGTTGAATGGGTTGTCACATTGCAGACAGGATACGATTGCCATGGAGATGGTTACGAGAACTTTTCCTGTAATTCAGATTTTGCTGGGTTAATATTTCTTTTCCATGCTTCCGTAAAAAGAAAGGATTATCTAAATGCTAGTTATGAAGTATGTATTAATATTAAATATTTTCATGTAGGGTGATTTTCATATTGTTCCTATTACACTTTATGTTGTGAAGCAGGACTAAGGGCCTTCCCTGAGGTTACAGAGGGAAGCTGTAGTAGAACAAGGACCTGATCACTGCCTGTCAGAGCTTAGGCCGATGCCCACAGGGCGATCATTCTTGCCTTGCTCCTTCTTGTAACAGTTATGTACACTGCATTTTTATCTAAGGACTGTGAAAATTATTTATATGTATGTTCTTTAGAATACTGGAAAGCCTGCACTTTGTATTGTTAGTCTTCAGGTGAAAATTGTCCTTTTCCTTATACTTTACATGCTGTAATTATATGTCAAAAGGTTTTCTCAGCCTTAGGGAAGGATGGCCTCCGCTTTTAACAGCTGTTAAAATATCTGTGAGCTAAGAATTTTAATATATATCATTCTTCAGGAAATCTGTACAGTGATCTAAAGTAGTATGACCCTGTTAGACAGAATAAGGTAAAAGATACTTCTAATGTCCTCACTTTTTTCATTGCAAATTGTATTTCTGAATTATATTATATATATTATATACCTGAACTTGTGTAGCTCTGTCCAAAAGTTTGTTGTCAGAGCTTTCAGATTCTCCATTGCAATCCTTCACTGTCAACTTTGGAATATTACAAAAATTTTTTGCACCAAGACTTAGCCAAGAAGTACACAAGTAATTCTGTTATATTAAATGTCATTTTTTGACTGGTTGCAACTCGCATATGCAGTGGAAGGGGCAGTGGCGGTCCCTGTGCCAGAGGGAATACAGAAATTGTTCCTTCCTGGAATATACCAGGCATGCAAATTACGGTAAAGGGCAAGAGGGAGATTGCCCTCCCTTTCCTCTACCCTGTAGAGCTGATTATTGCCAGTGGTGCCGGAGGGAAGAAGGGGAGGGAATTGCACTGGGAAACAGAATCTCTCCTGGGATTTACGGAGATTGAAAAAGATTTTCCTTCCATTTCTGAAACATCAATAGGCTGATTATTGAGATGAGCAGTGCTTATGCTGAAGGATGGAGGAAGGAGAACAGCTTTAGCTGCGCTGCCAGTACAGAAAAATACAGAACCTGTATTTATTGCCAAATTCCAGAAGGATTCTATCAAAGCCACAGAAGCGTAGAGATGAATGCCTGTTGTGCGCAATGGCATATCCCACTCTGATTACTTCTGAGGGTAGAGCACTAGGCCTAGTATAGCAAAAGTTTTGTCTTCAGCTGAGTTCTGCATCGTTCTGACCCTTGCACCTACGTACCCACTCTAAGAGTATTTTTGTTCAGCTAAGAACTTGAACACTGCTCTTGGAGCAAAGGGTTTTCTTCATCCAGGTCACCATCAAAGACAGGAAATGTAACAAGGAAAAATTGTCGCCGGCAGCAAGGGCCTAGATGCAGCTGATGAAGACAGGTTGCTGGAAGCGAGGATCTCCTTTCCTATAACTGAATGAGCAGTTCTCCCGTTTGCTAACCCCAGCTTCCCTACCAACCGAAAAGAAGAAACTATTCCTAGATCAGCGGATTCAGAGACTCTGCTCAGAGCTGGAGAGTTGAGCTTGCTGGCACACTTTCTCTTTGTGTTCTTGCAAAAGGTTGAGCACTGTATATCACAGATGCTTCCCTTCTGCTGGATTCTGCTTTTTCCTGGAGTTTGGAAATCTGCAATAATTTTACTGAAATCTATTGAGTTTGGCAAAAAAAAAAAAAAAATCAGTTAAATGCAGAATCTGACTGTGTTCAGGTTGCCTAGTCCTTGATGTTTCATTATTCCAGGGGAAAGAAGGGGGAGTTACTGTGACTCAGTAAAAATCTTAGTGTTTCAGTTCTCAGCTTTATGAGTCATATTAGAACTGTTTTTTTTTTTTTGCTTGTCTGTTTGGTTTTTTTCATGAGAGCTATAGGGGTCATTGGGCTGAATTCTCCTTATCATTGTCATAACTTTGATGACCTTGAATTCAAGGTTGAGTTACATTTCATATGTGTACCGATCACTTGTTAATTATAGATGAAGGAATTGTACTTCAGTATGCTAAAAATTTGCTTGCATCAAAGTAGAGAGAGGATACTTGTTAGTTCAGGGGTGTGTGGGTATATATATATATATATTTTTTTTTCTGTTTCATCTAAAAATTGAGCTAGGATCTGAAGCCAGTCTAAAGTAATAGATGATGACCGTTTCTGTGACAAACTAAATTTTGCTTTTTACACGCTTGCCACCACAGTTATTTTTGTTATTGTGCCACATTATTTATAAGAAGCACTTTCCTCCTCTGTGTGTCACAATTTAGCCCAAAGTCATCTGTGTACATCTACAGATAACTGAGGTCGTTAATTGCATTCTTCCTGTTGACAACAAACTGTGCTTATGAGCCATCGCCCATGGGTTTTTTTTGTAACCAGTGCTGTGTGTAGAACTGTTCAGACCTATTGTGATATACAAAAAGGTTTATAATTTCTTGTTAGGTCAAAGGTTTAGAAAAACCTAGGCAATGAATCAGATTTGATGGCATTATTTCTTGTATTTACGTAGTATTAAGACTTCAGTTTGCTGGTCTTCATTCCTGTTTGTCAAAGTGTGATGTAGCTATCAATAAGCTTTACTGCTTTTCATATAGAAGAGTTGGAAGAGCCTTGCCTTTAAGTCCTACAGTGAATCAAAGTTGGAATACAGTGGTCAGTATTTGACCCTTCTGCTCTATTCTTTTTGATCATACCTGTGCTACCTGCCGTAAAGCTTCAGTATCATAGGTTTAGGTAGATACAAGCTTAAGGCTTGGCTTTGGCTATTAAGTCTGAATACCGTAATTGTCATGAGTAAATTAAAGGTCATGTTTTGCTGTACAGGTAAATACACATCTTAGAGGGGATATTTTACATTCAAAATCTATATTTTTCTTATTTGTGTTTTGGTCGTTCGTGTCCTCCCCCCTCCCCCCCAACCGTAATGTGAATGACCTATAGACATGAGAACTTTATTCATTTTGGTGTAATGAATGTGAAACAGGTCATGCTTAACGTTAAACTGTCAGTGGGTGACACTTTGTTCAAGCATGAGGAGCAAAGCCAAAGCCAGACTTGATAAACTTAGCTGGCAAAATATGAATCAAACCCTGTTAAGTACCTCCTGGCAAACCAATCCTCTGGTGTGAACAGGAGCTCTGTTGTGTTTTGGCTTTTTTTTTTCTTCTTTTTTTTTTCCTCCCCAAACAAGGTCAAAAATTTAGAGCTCAACCCTGTGAAGTGCTGAGTGTCAGTGAAAGCCACGTGGGAACTGAAATGTTCGGCATCCTCCAGGATTAGGCCTTTACTTTGGTCCACTTCTTGTCCATTATGCGATCTGTTGTTCTTGAACTAATAGATTTCTTTCCCCTCATCCTGAAAACTAGGTTATGTTATGTCGATTCCAAGTCCTGGTTATAGAAGTTTATTCTCTTTTAATGCAAATAAAGGAAAGCAAGCCATAAGGCATATTTCCTTCATAAGAAGATTAACGTACAGAACTTGGTCCACGTATGTTATCTTTTGTGCTGGTTTGATGTTGTTTCCTTAAGATGAGATAGCCATCTCTGTAATATTAGTATATTTTACTTGCTGTAATCTGATGTACCATTTCTCTCCCCTTTTTTCTCCTTCCCTAAGATTATCGTTGGAGAAACTGCAGTGTTTTGTCTACAGTTAGCTACAAAGGATTTTGAAAACCAAGAAAAAACAATATTAACTGGAGACTGTTGTTATATAAATCCACTGGTGCGCAGGACCATCAGATTCCTTGGTATGAGCAAAATTAATGCTTTCATTTTCTGAATGGTGAGAATGATCAATTATGTCTTAATTTTGACCTGGGGAAAATACTCAGTTAACCATACAACATTTCATGTGTAGTCTTAACTCGGGTGCAGTGAGTTCTCTCCTTTTGGGTAGCGAATGAGGCTTCTTGGAAGTTTGGATAAAAAAACAGTTGCAGAAACGGCAGTAAAAATAGAAAAAACTGGGATCACAAGGGGGAGAAACAACCAGCAGGCCTGGGTGTAGGGTGAAGTGGAGAAAGGAGATATCCTTGTGCCATATCTATAGTTGATAGTTTTCTTTTGGTTACACACACACATAGCAGCCAAAGACACTGGGATATAAATGTGTGTTTGAAGCCAAGCCCACTTTAGGTACTTTCTTGGCCTGGAGATTGTATTGTAGTCTCTGGTAGAAAACTGTAGAAAATCCATGCTCCACTGAAGTCAGCTGTAACACTCCCATTGACTTCAGTAAATATGAGATGTCATCCTTTCTACTTAGTTCATTGTAAATGTGTTTGGAGGGAGAAGTACCACCGCTCAAAACATCCCTGGAATGTTCCCAGATGCTGCTTTTCAATACGTGCAGGGATGCCATAGCAGGGCTCAATTCTGTTGTTTGCTTCTCACTCACGGTTGTATCTAAGAGAAACAGCTGGAGGAATGAAGCCTTGGGGCAGCTAATCCTCCTGCGTGGCCCAGTCGCGGGGGGAGGGAGGGGATGTGCAGCTGGGTCTGTATTTGCAGTGTTTGTGTAACAGCCGTACCTGCCTTCTGAGAGCGCAATTGCTCGCTGTCACGCTGGAGTGCTAAAAGTCATTAAGAATGACACCGTCTTGCAGAGGTCCAGAGGAGGTGGGGAGTGATGATGAGGAGCTCCTCCTGCTCCAGTTGCTCTGTGTGTAATCAGTGCCTGCGTTTCCTTCCTACTTGGTGGGCCCTCCTTGCTCACAGAAGCAGAAAAAAAATTGGGAGGGGGGGAAGGGATGAACAATGGTCTCCACACTGTTCTACCAGAGGAGGCATCACTACCCATTAAGCTCGTAGAAAGTGATGTGGCCACCTATGCTGGGGCAGTGCACACCCTCGGGGCTTGCTGAAAGGGCCCTTCCGTGCAGCGACTCAGCTGGGCACGATCCGCTGCTCACCAGTGTCTAGCAGCTCAGGGTGAATTAACGTTAGTGTGACATTGCTGACCAGCCAGGATCCCAGAAATCATCCTCGGTCCTCTAGCTTTGCTGAGGAGAAAACCTGACCTTTAGAAATGCACATGTTTTTGTGGGATCGTGTCTGCTGTGGTGTACATCCATTAAAGTCCTCATGGTGCCCCATGAAGTTGGGAACTGCCAGAACTCATGCTATATTCACGGTGAATTGAAGTATGGGAAAGGTAAGGTGATTTGCCTGTGGAAATATGGGAGGAAATCTGTAGCTCAGGTGGAATTTGAACACGCACCTGCTGGCTTTGCCTCCCAGTCAGGGTGTGGTGTTTGCATTTCCTTCCTGAACTCATTTTCTGCTTCCAAAAGGATAGAAAGGGACCTCAGAATAGCAAAAATCTGTTTTCTTTTAAGTAATCGGATACATGCATTTCCATTCTAATGAACAAGTACATGTGCTTAATGCTTTGCTGATATGTCTGATAAAAAAAAAAACCTCTTTAGCATCAGTAGCTCCTCAAATATATAGATCTTGAGCTCACTGTGTTGATATTGTGATTAATATGCCATGCATAGAGATGTACCCAGTAGCAGGCAGATGAAGACAACTCGTGCGTGGCAATATTGAATTATTCAGTACTTCAGCTTCTTTACAGCTGCAAGGGTAAAGAAAATGTTTGTCCAGTATATGTTGCGACTTTTCAAGTTACTCCTCCATCAGGGCCCAACTTCTTGATTCCCAAGCAGATTTAGAGGGTGAAGAATTTGCCTCTGTTGCTTCTGTTTAGTGAACATGGGCAAAAGTTAGGTACCAGTATAGCTAGCTACCCCGAACAGTGGAGATTCATGGCTAGGGGGCCTAGGAGAGCGGGCTACTTGCACAAGAGGTGAGTGTGCTCCTCCAAAGAATGGAGAGAGATCAGGTGTGCGGGTACGTTGCAGTGTCGCTGCTGCGGTTGTGTAGGAAAGTACTGTCTCCATTGTGAGCCAGGATCTTTAGGGTGCAATACATGTGAGGGTTTTTCATGTTCTTAAATGGAAGGAGCTGGTCTATTATTATGATAAATACTATAATATATTGTCCTGGAGTGAAACTGTCAGGAAATTTAACTCTTTGTTTCCCTCTTTAGGAATTTACGCATTTGGACTGTTTGCTACGGACATCTTTGTAAATGCTGGACAAGTAGTAACAGGGAATCTTGCACCACATTTTCTTGCACTTTGTAAACCCAACTATACAGCACTTGGATGTAAACAGTATACACAATTCATCAGTAGCGTACATGCCTGTACTGGAAATCCAGACCTTATCATGAAAGCCAGAAAGACATTCCCATCCAAAGAAGCAGCACTAAGCGTATATGCAGCTATGTATCTGGCTGTAAGTATATTGTACTATTTAATGTCACTATATTTTTGAGAGCAAATGGCTCACAGCGTGAGGGGAGGAGGGAGGAATGGGGAGAAGATAAGACAACTATTGGCTGATTTTATATATGTAAACCTTCTATGAGTTACTGTGAGGCCTTTGAGAATTTGATTCATTGGACTTACTTCTGACAATTACCGATGTAGTGGTTCTCTGAGCCTTGAAAGCTAAGGCAATGCTGAGAGAGGGCAAGTTGTTCAAAAAGGGTTACAGATTTAGGATAACCATGTTCTTGGTTTACTTTTTCCCCATTTCCAGAGAATGTGGGAGAAGGCTTTGTTGGGTGGTAAAGAATAAGGGTAGGGATTGCCTGTGACTGGTAGTGGTTCCTTTCCATGTTTTAACCCAGTACAGATTAGTAGAATTGCATATGACCGTATTCTTTGGTGGGGTGAAGTAGAAGAGTGGGCATATGTAAGTGTCCGATATCTGCAGGTTTCCCCGAGATCTGTGCATGTCTCTAGGTACCTGAATTGGTATTTATAGGTACCTCAGTGCTCATGCAAAGTCAGTTTGGCTCTTATTCTGCAATGAAGTGGGCTACAAGACAATCCAGCCCTTCTTCCCTCCTCTCTGACGCAGGGAGTGATGAGCAGGGCTGGGATACAGACTGTTTACTGCCTGGCATCAGAGCTGTTCTAGAGGCTACTGAGAAGTGTGGAGAGGCAGGTGAGAGGCAGAGTGACTAATGAATCTCACTCGGGTAACTCCCTGGCTTAGTTTGGAGTGCACATCGTTCTAGCCTTAAGCGGAAGCACATCTTGTTCTTAGTAAAGTTGTCCCCAGCACATGCCTATGGGGGTCTCTCACCTGACCTGCGCTGGTAATCACAGTCCTTTGTAGCCCTTTGGATGGGCCCAGGGCTGCCCTCATAGTGTCAGCGGGAAACCAGGCAAGTGTGTGTGTACCTCTGTGGTCATTGCAGGAGTCATCCCTTAAATCCCCTCAGTATTTGAACAGTGGCCTGCCTAGACATTTGTGTGTGTATATATACGCGTGTATATATACGCATATCCTGTTGCATGTTGCTTTGGAGCATATATTTAATGACGTGACTTTTAATTCCTGGTTAATCTGGAAAATGATGCTTGCCAACATGGCAAAGATCCTAACCCCATCCGCAGATAGTGTGCCAACTCCATGATTCTGAATATGGTTTTAGAACCAGTTGCTTAAAATCTGCAGCACTGACGGTAACATTTACCAAAAGTTCTTGTGAGCAATGTCTGCTTAAGAGATGTGGATCATCAGTTAGTACAGGCAAGTGTTATCTGCAAAAAAAGAGATGAGCAATAAAATTCTATTCTAACTTGAGGCAAGTGTAAGACTCCTAATAGTATTGTCTTTATTTGGGGACATATCTAAGGCTTTGCTTCACTGAAACATACCTCTAAATTTGGCGCAAGCTATTTTAGAAAATATTCAGCATTCTTCATTTTAATTGCTCCTATTTTTCTCATCCATCTGTAAAGTTGGATTTCCACTGTTGCCATGAGTCACAGTAACTAAAGGAAACCAACGGTTCAGCCACTGCAAGGCACGAAGGAAAATAGTATTAATTCATTTTAAAAACAAAAAGTAGACATTAGTAAGGTCTCATACCTAGTATCAATGGCTTTTGACATGAACAAGAGTACTTTATGCAAACCTTGTCTGTGGTCAATATACAGTTAGCAACATCAAAAATTAAAACTGCTGTGATCTGTTTCATGACTTTAGAATCTTTCAGTAACTGCAGAAATTAATATATCCTATGTCATTACTGCATCGCTGCATGATGCATGACACTGTCATCATTTAACTAAAGCACTATCAACTGCTCTCAGGATTTTTGAATTCTTTAGGCTGCCTAATAAAGTGAATTGCTATGATGTATCAGCTGAGTTGTAGCCTGCAAATTTAGGTCCTTGATGCAATATTGGCAGTCCTTTTTTAAAAAAAAAAAAATCCTGTTGCATGGTTGCAGCTAAAAATACTGTTTATTACACACCAGGGAAAGAAATGCAATGTTCCAATATTTGGGGTCATGTCCTTAGACTGTCATGATGTTTATCAGGATAGTTGGCCCTGAATAACAACTTTCTCATCATTATTCACTGGAGTAGAAGATTTAAACAGTAGCCTAGTCTTTATATGAGCCGTGGCACAACAGTTATTGAGAGCATGGACATAAAGACCTCCATATATTACTCAGCTAGTATTTCATGAGCATATAATCTCTGATACAAAATGTGCTTTCTTTTTGGTTAACAGAAATATTTGGGAGAGAGGGAGGGATTGTTACAGAATCCTCCCTGGACATTTCAGCCAGCTGTGCACAAAATGAAACCAGCTTAAAGACATAAACAGGCAGCAAGCTGATCCAGAGTCCTTGCTCTCTGAGGGGGTGAAGTAAACAATGTCAGGCTTGTGTGATTTCACCCATCAACCCATTTAAAAACAAAGCCTATGCTTTACCTAATAATTCCCCTATCCCGTTCCATTTAAGTGCAGCCATGTCCTTATCACCTAGCATCTGTGCATATTGTCTTGTTAACAATAGCTTCTTTTTTCATCTATGTTCTTGAGTCTTTCTTTCCCCCCCCCCCCCCCTTTT